TGTGTGTGTGTGTGTGTGTGGCCAGCTCAGCCCACCAGGGGGCGGGGCTGGCTGGCATGTGGTGCTGGGGGATTGAACCGCAGTCCCTGTGCTTTGCTAAGCTTGTTCTAAGGAGGTGCTTTAGACCACTGAGCCATCTCACCAGCTCCTATATATCTCTATTTACACCCTTTACACACACAAAAAAAAATTTCTTTTGAGACAAGGTCTTGCTATATAATTCACTCTGCCCTCAAAGCCACCGTGGAAGCCTCGGCTGGCCTTGCACTCATAGTGAGCCTCTCGTTCAGCCTTGCAAGGGCTGGAGTTGCAGATGTGTGCTACCATACCTGGTGGTTTTCACAGATGTTATTAGCAATTTCTTCCAGGTATAACTTAGAATCAAGTTTGGAAACTTTTTTTTTTTTTTTTGAAGAGTTACAGAGTTTATTTTATTTTTTTATTTTATATTATTTTTCCATAATTTTATTGAGAAACAAATAGCAATGAGACAGTTTCAAACCAAATTGGTAGGACAGTTTCACTAATTAACAAGTTTGGAAATTAAAAAAAAAAAAATGTTTCCAAGGTCCTTTAATACTACTCTGACTTGAATAATCTGGGAAGAGCTGACAACTTGCTAACATTGACTCCTAGGCCTATGCAGTCTTCCTGCCTCAGCCTCCCAAGTGCTAGGATCACAGGCATGTGCCACCATGCCTGGCTTAGTCACTTCTCTTCTCTGCCATGTGGATAGTCACACACGTGGAAGTGAGCTGCCCCAGGCGGAACCAAGGACACCCCCTTGTCAGTGCAGTACTTGTCTTTGGCCCGTAGGCACCGGGCCACCCCAAGAGGGCCCTTGAATGCGGCCCTTCCCCACAGTTGCACCAGGTGCCACACTGACAAGCCCTGCCTCTTTGGGAAGGCCACTCGGTCTCTCTGCGCCTGCCTCTTCAGCCCTAAACAGATAGGACCCAGCCTTCCTTCCGCAGGTGCTCAGGCGGGGGCTCGCAACCTTGGCTGCTAATCAGGGTCATGCGGGCATGGTGGTCCCCCCCAGGGACACAGATGCAGCTACTCTGGGGTGTATCCAGACCCTAGAAGCCCACCAGATGAGTCTAACATACCCCAAGGCAGAGAAGCATATAGCAGATGGTGCCAACGAACTCTCCAAAGATGCCCTGTGCCCCTTGCTCGGGAAGAGCCTGCTGTCCTCCCCGACACGTGGACTCACCAGTGTGGTCTTGTTCTCCATGTTGAGCGAGGGGACGCTGGTTCGCAGGAAGAGAGTGGCCCAGCCGTCTACCCTGACTCGGTCAAAGTCTCTGTAGTCCTGGAAACGGGGCAGGGTGGTCAAGGGTAGCAGCTGAAGCCCCCTCGAGGCTCTCTCTTGACCCTGTGCACTCCACCCCTTGCCTTCCTGCCAGGCAGCAGCCTTAAGCAGCCCCCTCCCCAGTAGAGGAGTCAGCCAGTCGCTGCTCCATACCCACATGCACATCATTCACTCCTTCCTTCCTTCCTTCCTTCCTTCCTTCCTTCCTTCCTTCCTTGCTTTGAGCATCAGTTCCTGTGCTGGACAGCACAGCACACAGGGTCACAGCAAAGGTCCCAGCCTGGGCTAGGCCCATGGGCTAAATCTGGCCTGGCACCTGCTTTTGTATATAAAGTATTTCTCAGCACACAGCCACGCCCATTCATTCATCTACGGCAGCTTTTGCGCTACTGCTGCAGAATGGAGCCAATGTCCTGGAAACCGAATGGCCTACGAAGCTGGAAAGGTTTGGAGTCAAGTCACAGGAGATGCTGGCCCCAGGCGACACAAGAGGCTGGCACAGAGTCACAGGACCCTCCTGGCTTGGCTCTCTCCCTCAGCACCCAACACGCACCTCGATGAATGTGCTGTTCCACACTCGAGCCTTCACAGTCACGTTGGTGGTGTAAGTGGCATCTGGGAGGGGACACTCCAGCCACACACAGTGGGCGCGGCCAGTGGCACAGCTCTGAGGCGGGCAGGGAACCCAAGACAGGAGACAGACTGGTCTCCAAATTCTTCCTGCTTTGCCCCTCACCCTTTATCCTCTGAGACTTCATCCCATCCCTGGGTGACCCAAAGGGCTACTGATTTCCCTTCATCACTCACACATGTTCTCCCACTCCCCGAGGACATGTGCAAGACACACTCTGGGCCAAGCCCATATGAAGCCAGGAACATGGATAACATGAAAGCATGTGAAGGAGGGCCCAACTGCCCCTCACCAATCTTCCAAAACCTACCCTGGGACACTACCCTCTACCTCTCCTCCCAGCTAACCCTGGCCAGCTCCCTCCCACAGGGGATGCCCTGGCCCTGGCTTCCACCCTTCCCACTCCCAGCCCTTGGGTCTCAGGCTATGAGTGTTGTCTGGTCCCCAATTGGTCGGGCCTCCTTGGAACATGGCCAGAATCTCCTGCTGGGGTCCATATCGGATGCTCCCTATCAGAGTAAGGTGCCGAGAACAGGAGATGAGTCTTCCCCACTCTAGGGCTCCTGAGGGCAAGGCCCATGTCACCTACCAGCCTGGATCCCTATCTCCCTTCCTCTGTGGGCCCCTGAGAGCCCCCCACACCTTGCAATGGGTGGCGGCAACACTCTGCAGCCCTGCCCTGGCCACTCACCAGCGCAGTCTCAGACTTGGCTTTCTTGGCAGCAGCCAGAGTGATGGGTGGGGGGCCCTGCTCTCCCCCAGGGTCCAGCTCTCTCCGCCTGCGCTGCGGCCTGTTCTTGGGATCCTGAAGGGGGAAGAGATTTGCTGAAAAGAGAGGAAGAACTGGGAGCAGAAGTAGAAGAGGAAAAAGGATAGGGAGAGTCAGCTTCCCAAAGTGCAAGGGAGAGGGAAAGATGCAGGCCTTTCTGCCCCATGACATGCAAGTGTGATGCAAATGAGATGCAAATGAAGCATCCCAACTGGTGAACTTACAGAGAGAGTGAGGTTGAGAGGGTTGACCAGGTCTCCAGGAGGCTCGCAGGGCCAGGACCCATTGCCATGAATGGTGATCTCCGTGGGGTACAGCAGCCATTTGCCATTAGCGACTTCATAGGGCCACTCCAGACCTAGGACTAGGGTCCCCAGGGCCGCCAGCCCCTCCCCTACAGGGCTCACCTGCGGGCACAAGAGGTGTCATGGTTACTGTCTTCTGAAAAAAAACACCTTCCACCCTCAGACCCCAGACCCAGCACAAATCCCCCCCTCACTCCTCTCCCAGGAGTCCCCACCCAGAACCCCACAGGTACCCTTACCTGGAATTCATATTTGAGGGGGCTTCCCACATCCTCCACAGTTTTCATGCCCGACTCACCCATCACGGTTCCCCCAAAGAAGCTTTGCAGCCTGTGATTCACCCTAGGAGTAGAAAAGATGCTTGAGTGTGTGTGTGGGGGGGAGGCAGGAGGCTGAGGCCTTGGCAGAGGGGTGGGCACCAAGATGGTTACCACACTCCTCTGATGTCAGGCAGGCCTGGGTACAAACCCCAGCTCTGCCATTCACCAATGGCCTCAGTAAGTTATGATCCTCTCTGAGACTGTTTCCTCATCTGTAAGGTCAAGTACATAAAGGTGGTACAGCTCAGGGCAGTGGTGAGGAGTCCAGGAGAGAATGTACTAATTCCTTGGCAAACAAGTATTTAAGAAATGGCTGGGGGCTGGGGAGATGGCTCAGTAGAATAAGTGCTTCCTTGGCAAGCTCAAGGGCCTGAGTTCAATCCCCGGTTCCGCCAAAGGAAAAAAAAGAAAAAGAAAAAGAAATGGATGGCTGAAGTGTGGCACAGTGGTGCACACCTATAATCCCAGCTATGCAGGAGGCTGAGACAGGAGGATTGCCAGTTTTGTTTTGTTTTTTTAATTTTAGGGGAAGGGTCTACAGGGTGTCCGGGATCTCAGTACTAGATCAGACTTTAGTGATCCACCTGTTTACAGCCTCCCAAGAGCTGGGATTATAGGTACACACACCACCATGCCCAATCTTAACTGCCTTCTCAACATGCCCTGGGGGCAGGGCTGGTACAGCAGGCCCAGGGATTGAACCCTTGGTCCCTGCAACTGCCTGCAGGCGCTTTAATCCACTGAACTGTTTGGCTGGCCCTAGGATTGCCAGTTTGAAGGACCCTAGGAAACAGGCGAAACGGGCTGGGAATGTAGAGTTCTTGTGTTAGAGTACTTGCTAGGTATGACAAAGTCCTGGGTTCCATCTCAAAAAAACAAAACAAGCAAGAAAACCCTCCCTCCAAAACAGGAGCAGGAACCCACACTAGCCCCAGTGCTGCTGAGTCCTCCTATGAGCTCAATTAGGACAATAACATTAATGATGTTAAAAAAAAAGATGACCCAGGGGAAGCGGAGGCTGGAGGAGACACCTGGGCACAGGGAGGCCCTGGCTCAGGAACAGCAGGCTGGGGGCAGGGTGGGGAGCAGAGCAGCACCCACATGCTGAGCGAGGCCTGTAGCGTGTAGTCCACCAGCAGAGTCAGGGTCAGGGGCTGCAGATTGTCCTGGTGACTGGACCTGGGTGGGGGAATGCAGAGGTTGGAAGGAGACCGAGGTCACCACTTCCATCCCAGCCAGCCTGGCGACACCCAGTCACTCACGTAGACAGCTGCAGCTGCACTTCAAGGTCCCTCGTGTGCAATGTCACCCCACTAACCTCAAAGGCGATGAGCAGTTCCATCTGTTGTTAGGAAGCAGAGGGGCCGTTTAGGGACCCGCAGGGCCGACACACGGGGAAGAGAAGGGCCGGCACTCAGTGAGGGAGGCTGTTCTCTGGAGTCCTCTTCCAGGCAAGGGGTCTCCACCTTACTTATTCCTGTCTCCCTTCCCCACCTCGTCTCCCTTCAGTGACAGCCCTGCCATTATCCAGATCTCTACTACGTTTGCACAACCTTGAGCAAGTTACTGCAGTTGTCTAAACCTGCTCAGCCCCCCTCTGGACCCCAACTTCAAGGCAGCCCGAAGGCAGTAGAGCAGTATCCAGGCCTAGGGCTCACCCTCTGGTTTCGCTTGAAGGGGTTCCCCAGCTCACAGAGGATGGTCTCATTGGCTTGGCAGGCCCCAGGCTGAGGAAGGAAGGTAAGGAGGGTCAGGGCAGAAACCTCAGAGGCCTGACAACCAGGTTTCCCAAGGAGGGAAACACAGGCGTAGGAAGAGGAAGGCACACATGCACATAACATGCAAATCAGCGGAGTTCTGCTTGGGCTGAGCCTGGCCGGCAGGCACTTACAGGGCGCACAGAGGACAGCAGCAGGGCGGATGGGACCTCCAGCGTGAGCAGCGCCTCATGGGCATCTTCCCCAGCCCGTTTCTGGCTAGGGGCGTTGGTCACGTTGATACTCAGGAGCAATTTGCGGACATCTCTGCTGTACTGGAGCCTGAGGCAGGAGTCCTGGACTAAGCTACAAGCCCCGTCCCTAAGGTCCACCCAGGATCCACCATACCAGGCTGCTTCTGGGGCTACAAGCCCCGCCCCCAAGCCCTATTGGCCAATGAAGCCCTGCCCTGACAGGTGAGGTCCAGCTCCCATTCGCCAATGGCACCACGCTGCTCCATTGGCCAATCAGTGCCACGCAGTGCCCACCTGCTCAGCCGCTGCAGCTGCTCTGACACGAAGGCTGCTCGCATCTCCAAGTTGCTGTCGCACTTGTTGTCAGGCCCGCACTCCTTCTGGAACTGGACCTGGGGACAGTCGGAGGGATGAGGGGCTCCACCCAGAAAGCACCCTCTGAGCCCACAGCCCTGCGGGCCCCGCCTCGCCCACCTCCGTGTGGTTCTCCAGAGCCTGCGCCTGGTTGAGGACTGGGTAGGCATCCAGGGACCGCAGCCCCAGCCGGGGGCGCTCGGGCATCCGCAGAGGTAATGAGTAGTTCATGGAGATGATAATGGGCCGGAGCTTGTCACGAAGGTTATCCTGGGGATCGAGGGCCACCTGAGCCAGGCCTGCTCCTGCCCTCCTACAGGTTGAATCCTCACTCTACCCTGAGCCCAGAGGGGGAACTGACGGCCCCAGAGTTAGGCGGAGCCCTCTCCAGTTGATCACAAATTGAGTCTACCCTTTGCACCTCCACATCAGCTCGAGGGGATGGTGCTCCTCCTCCCCAGAGGTCTGGGTGGGGTGGGGGAGGAGGCGCCTCCCTTCACCACTAGGTCCCTGGGGTGAGTCTGCACCGCCCCATCTCTGAGGTCCCAATCAGGGACCCTTTTCCAAGGGGTGAACCCCACACCCCTCACTTTCTCGGGGTCTTTGCTCTCCCCTGCTCTCTGCTGGTGCTGTGCACTATACCTCCTCGCCCTCATCCCTCAGACCTGCGGCGGAAGTGCCTTGTCCCTCACCTTTGACCTCCAGGAATCCTGACGCCCCTCCTGCCCCACTCCTCCCTCACCATCAGGAGCAGCTCCAGCGTCTGGCAGCGCGTCTCGGGCATGGAGAAGAAGCCGTGGAATACGGCCGACTGGCTGCGGGCAAATCGGAGCCGGGGTGGGCGGCGGTCCCGGTCGGCCTCCAGGGTGTAGGCCAGGGCTATGGGTGGATGTGCAGTCAGTAGGCACCGGATGGGCACACCCCCCCCCACTGGACCATTCCCCCCACCCCCCAGCACTCACTGATGTTGCGCCTGTAGTTGGGGTTCCCCGCACTCTGGTTGTAAGCGAAGCACAGCTCTACCTGCACACTGTTGGGGGGATGGACAGGAGGGCCTGGTCACTGTGGGACACTCCAGGGGACTAGGCCCTAACTGGCTCCTGTAAGAGGGAAAGGGAACCTAGGGCGTTTCTGGGGACAGGAAAGAAAAAACGGGGGTGTCCACAAGCGGCTCTAAGCTCTCGCTGACCCCTTCCTTCTTATTCCCAATAGAACTATGGAAAACAAGGTCAGAGGTCACTGGTGGGGAAACCAAGTCCCAGACAGCAGGAGGACTCGTCCGACATCATCCGTCAGGTGTTGGCCGCCTTCAGCAGTGTCACCACATAATGACCTGGGGCTCCTCGCAGACATCAGCATCACTCTCTTAGCACTTAATGACTCTCGAGCACTAACGCTATGCCTGTGCCTCGCTGAGCTAGGGACGACTTGCACATTATCTCATTTAATTATCACCAACCCCGGGAGGTGGTTTTTCATTCCCTTCTAGGAAAGGATTCTGAGGCAGGAGAGATTAATAATCGCCCGGGGTGGCTCCCGCTTCCCCGCGTCACCCACCTGACTGCATTCCTCTCTTCTCTTCTGCTAGCTCCCCACAGAACCCTGTCTGCCCCTGCAATGCTGGGGTTTGAACCAGGCAATCCAGAGCTCTCATTCCTAACCACTGGGCGCTGCTGCCCCTGATTCACCCATTATCTCCTGCAAGGAATTGCTCTTTTCTTTTTTTTAAAAAAAATTAATTAATTAATTAATTTATTTATTTATTTGGTACAGAGTCTTTGCTGCTACACAGCTTGGACTCCTAGTGAACCTCCTGTCTCAGCCTCCCCAGTGCTGAGATTATAGGCATGAGCCACCATACCTGGTTTCAGTGGCTGGCTTGGCTTGGGGCTTGCACGGCATGAGGTACCAGGGATTGAACCCAGGTCCTTGCACTTGCCAGGCGGATGCTTAGATCTGCCGAGCTATCTTACTGGCCCTAAAATTGCTCTTCTCAATGAGGGTAGCCAGTGCTGGCCCCAGAATAAAACCTTTAAAGATGTATCAGGTGGCCAAAGGAGGGGCCTAGTGACTGGGGCCCCACCCAGCCTTCTCAACTAGGAGGAGTGGGTGGGTAGACAGGGCCTGCCAGTCTCACCAGGAAGTGGCTGTGCAAAGCGTGGGGTCCAGGATGGCTGGCCTAGCCACCAGGGTCTTGTGGAGGATGTTGATGACCGGCCGCGCCCTGCAGAGACAACAGAAGCAGTCAGGAATCAGTGCCTCTCGCCTGAAGGCTTCCCCGGACCTGGTGCGGAAGATGAACAGAAACGGGACTCTAGGCGGACAGGGACGGAGGAGAGACAGGCTCACCGCAGCAGCACGATGTGGTCTGACAGGCTCCCCACGAGCAGGTCTGGGTAGAGGTTGTCATCCACATCCATCTGCCCACTCAGAGAGTAGCCGAAGGTGGCCAAGCCAGGCAGTCCCAGCTTCTCGCCATGGATTACCTGGGGAGGGGTAGACATGGTGGGGACAGGCCCTGGGGTGGGCTCCAGGGAGCAGGCCCTAGGGCCACAGACGGAGGAGGAGGCCCACCTCAGCTGGCGGGGGCAGCAGCTGCGTCCCCGTCCATCCATACCTGCTGGGGCCGTCTGAGGAGCCCGCTGGAGCTGCTGTGGTAGATGTACACTGTGCCCAAGCCCTCGAACGGGGCACCCACAGCAATGTCTGGGGAGGAGAGGCAGGGCAGGGTTACAGGGGACCGCAGGCTCCACATCTCCCTAACCCTGTGCTGTGGGCATCTAGACTCAGAATGGCCCTGACCTGAGCCTGCAGGCCGTGCTCAGGGCAGCAGGGAAACTACAGAGTCCTGCAGCTCAGGGTTAAAACTGAGACTACTAGGGCCAGGGAGATAGCTCAGTGGTATAAGCACCTGCCTCGCAAGCGCAAGGTCCTGAGTTCGATCCCCAGTACCCCCCTCCACACACACACACCTGATACCACCACTTGCCTCCTTTCACAGGTGGGTAAGCGGCTTTTCCAGAGTCACACAGCAAGTTGGTGTCACAGCTGAGCTGTGCCTAGATCCCCGCCCACAACCTTTCCACTTCCCCACCTGTCTCCTCTTCAAACACCCTGGTTCTTTCAGCAACATTTACCAGCAGGGTGAAAAAAGGTGGTGTCGCCACTGGCAATGGCCTTGGATGAAAGCCCTCATCTCTTAACCCTCCACAAGTGCTGTGGGGTGGGGACTTTTGTCCCTGATGTACAGCTGAGGAAGCAGGCTCAGAAAACCCAGCATAGATGAGTAGTCAGGAGCACTTCTGAGCTCGCGTCTGCCTACCACTGGGCTGAGACTTCAGTCCTGATGCTCTGTGGACTTGACTTCTATTGTTTCCATGAAAAACCCAAACCATTGTCTGATCTTCTTAAACATTACTGGGCTTTTTTTCTTTTTTTAAATTTTATTTATTTGGTATAGGGTTTTGCTACACAGCTTAGACTCGTAGTGACCCTCCTGTCTCAGCCTCCTCTGTGCTGGGATTATAGGTATGTACCACCACACTGGGTTTAGACACCATCATGGCATGTGGTACTGGGGACTGAACTGGGGTCCCTGCACTTGCCAGGCAGGTGCTCAGACCACGGAGCTATCTCCCCAGCCCTTACTGGGCTTTCTTGTTACATCTGCTCTGGTAAGGTCTGGCACCCCAAAGGGCCTGTTTGCCAGGGAGGTGTGCTAAGGAGGGTCCATGGTCCTAAGCAGACACCAAAGGGCCCTTCTGTAGGGAGCACGTGGGCTTCACCGGATGAGCTTCCTGGCACTGTTCTGCCTCTTCTGAGGCTGCGGCCACCCCTTGGTTCTTAGCGATGCCCCAGGAAACAGAATTTCTGAGAAGTAACTTCCGGATAAGCTGAGCACTGCCTAGACAACAGGTCCCAGACCCTCAGCTGTCCTTCTCCATGGCAGCTTGGGCGAGACTGGTCCCCAAGCCCTGCAGAACACCGGTGATGGCCTCGCTATCTCTTACTCCACCTCATCCCTGCCCTTCTCATCCCATGTTCCACACTCCATTCATTCCTGCATCCACTGCGGTACTGAAGACTGAGCCCTGGGCCTCTGCACTGAGCTACAATCCCCGCCTTCCTTTTCTGATTTTTTATTTCTAGACAGGGTCTCACTGAGCTGCTAAGTTTTCTAGGCTGGGCTCCAACTTGTGAACCTCCTGCCTCAGGCTCTGGGAGCTCTAGAATCACAGGTGAGCGTGTGTTGTCCCGCCTGGGGTGATACAGGCCACTTTCTCCACCTATCACCTCCCCCAGCCTCGGCACCTCTCCTTGCATCCTGTACCCCTTTCTCCAGAATTAGCTTTTAAGGTATTCAACTGTTGAGTCCCATCCCTGTTCCCAAACTTTCTCTAGTTGTCCCCTACTCCTGTCCAGTTACCCACACGGAAAGCCGGAGCTCCGTGCTTGGTGTTCAGCGCCCCACCCTCACCCCAGAGCACCCCAGGTGCCTCACCCTAGCAAGATCTGGGTGCATTCTTTTTTTTTTTTTTTTTGCTCCAAATGCCTTCAGGGCAGGTTTGGCTCTCTTGAGTTGTGGGGATCGAACCACAGCAACCTGAGCCTGACTGCTTTGTTGAAGCAGCCACGTAAAGAACTGAGTTAAGGGGCAGGCCCCCCCGGGTGCATTCTGCAGGGGTGTTCTGCCACTTGTGTTCCTTTCAGCCACATGTCTGCCTCCTGGGACATCCACTGCCCTGCCTCTGTCCCTTCCCTAGAGCTGCTCTGAGCAAACCAGGCCTGGGCCCTGTCCCAATCCCATGTGGACTCTGTCAAGCCTGGTATGCGGCTGGCGGGCAGTCCATGGGGGAGGGGTGCTGGCTCTTACCCTGGAATCCGTCCTGGTTGATGTCACTGATGCTGGCCACGGAAAAGCCGAAGCCAGAGTGACTGGGGCCATGGAGAAGGAGGGAGGGTTCGGCAGGGAAGGAGGTGCCCGCCTGGTTCATGAAGACATAGATGGCACCCCCTACCTCCTCTTTCCGCTCAAAGTAGTAGGGAGCGCCCACCAGAAGGTCCTGCCACCTGCACAGGCCAGGAGGAGGCGGAAGGAAGCGTGAGGCCGGACCCCAGCGTGCAGCAGAGCTCTTACAGGCGAGACTGTGCAGGGCACGCAACTCTGTGAACGGCACTTCCAGCCACAGGCCACAGAAGGGACACAGAAAGGCCACCAAATAAAAGACATGTGTCACTGGGTGCAATAGCAAAAGGCCGTCATCCCAGCACCCAGGAGGCTGGGGCAGGAGGAGCGCTGTGAGTTCAGGGCCAGGCTGGGCTATCAAGTGAGTTCAGACCAGCCTGCGCTGTCTGTCATCAGCATGCAAGCAAAGATGAAAGATGACTCCCAGACGCCCACAGGTACTGGAGCCACGCAGTGCAGGCACAGACAAACACGTGCAGGTGTCTCGCAAAGGAATGCAAACATGCGGACTCCCAGGAACTCTGCAAACCCCGGAGACTGCACAGCGGCAAAGCATGCCACACCCCTGCCCTGGTCCACGCAGCCCTTCTCTCCCCGGCCCCAGGGATGTCCTAGACCCTTACCCATCGTTGTTCAGGTCTGCCAGGGCAACGGCACTGCCAAAATAAGCGCCCACCTGCGTGCCCTCCAGCACCTGTCTCTTCCGAAGGTCCCCGCCTGCCTCCTGGCTCAGGAGGAAGACGGCGCCCCTGTGTTGGTGCCGCGGGGCACCCGTCACAACAGTGATGTCTGAGGTCTGCAGGACAGCTCTGCCCACCTGCACCGAGTACCCTGGAAGAGACAAAGGGTCCAATCAAGGCCCAGGGGCCACCAGAGGCCAGCGGCCCTATCCCTTCCTGGGACCCAGTCCTGCCTGCACACAGGACTATGAGCACCAGGAGAGTGGAGGCTTTGCCTGCGGGATCTGGGACAGAGCCTGGCATCCAGGTGGTATGCAACAAGTGCATCAAATGCCACTTGTCACACCTGTACCCTGCACTCCTCCACCAGGCCCAGGTGCTAGGGACTGAGCCACCCTCCCTTTCTGTCACCCAGAGAGCCACCCGCATTGGACACACCAATATAGAGGTTTCCTTCACTCTCCGGTTCCTTGTAACTGTACTCTGATAAATCCCAGTCCTTCCGCTGAATCATGTAGGCATTTCCTGCACGAGGATTTGGGAAGAGACAATAGGAGAACCTCAGTTACCACTCCCTTTTCTTACCATATCCACACCTCCCCTATAATAACAATGCCTTGTCTTAGTAAATGGAATAAGGACTCCCATTTTGCAGATAAGAAAACTGAGGCTTCAGGGCAAGAAACTGATATGCTTACAGTGACATGGGAGCTAGTTGTAGAGGCAGGACTCTGCTATCCTCCTGGCTCCTGGGTAGTAGGTTCTAAGGTGACATGTCCCCACCCTCTAAACTACGAAATCTTACTATACAATTTTTT